CCCACACACACACACACACCCACACACACACACACACACACACACACACACACACACACACACACACACACACACACACACACACACACACAGAGTATATACACTATATTGCCAAAGGTATTGGGACACCCCTCCAAATCATTGAATTCAGGTGTTCCAATCACTTCCATGGCCACAGGTGTATAAAATCAAGCACCTAGGCATGCAGACTGCTTCTACAAACATTTATGAAAGAATGGGTTGCTCTCAGGAGCTCAATGAATTCAAGCGTGGTACAGTGATAGGTTGCCACCTGTGCAATCAGTCCATTTGTGAAATTTCCTCACTACTAAATATTCCATGGTCAACTGTTAGTGGTATTATAACAAAGTGGAAGCAATTGGGAACACGAAGTGGTAGGCCATGTAAAATCACCGAGCGGGGTCAGCGTATGCTGAGGCGCACAGTGCGCAGAGCTTCCTGGAATGGGTTTCCATGGCCGAGCAGCTGCATCCAAGCCTTACATCACCAAGTGCAATGCAAAGCGTCAGATGCAGTGGTGTAAAGCACGCCGCCACTGGACTCTAGAGCAGTGAGACGTGTTCTCTGGAGTGACGAATCACACTTCTCCGTCTGGCAATCCGATGGACGAGTCTGGGTTTTGCGGTTGCCAGGAGAACGGTACTGAACGGACTGCATTGTGCCAAGTGTATAGTATGGTGGAGGAGGAATTATGGTGTGGGGTTGTTTTTCAGGGGTTGGGTTTGGCCCCTTAGTTTCAGTGAAAGGAACTCTTAATGCTTCAGGATACCAAAACATTTTGGACAATTTCATGCTCCCAACTTTGTGGGAACAGTATGGGGATGACCCCTTCCTGTTCCAACATGACTGCGCACCAGTGCACAAAGCAAGGTCCATAAAGACATGGATGAGTGAGTTTGGTGTGGATGAACTTGACTGGCCTGCACAGAGTCCTGACCTCAACCTGATAGAACACCTTTGGGATGAATTAGAGCGGAGACTGCGAGCCAGGCCTTCTCGTCCAACACCAGTGCCTGACCTCACAAATGTGCTTCTAGAAGAATGGTCAAAAATAGGAAAACCTTCCCAGAAAAGTTGAAGCTGTTATAGCTGCAAAGGGTGGGCCAACTCCATATTAAACCCTACGGATTAAGAATGGGATGTTTTTAAAGTTCATGTGCATGTAAAGGCAGACAGCCCAAAACTTTTGGCAATATAGTGTATGTCTATGTAGTGCTTATGAAAGTTTCATGTAGCCCTACGAATAGTGCCCTTAAGCAAAATGCTACCAAAACTCAGTAAAAATGAAACTCCAAATATCTATTTTACTGTATATGAATAACCCATGGTTTGTTTTTTCTTGTTTAAAGAATTCATTCTGCATATAATACATCTGCACCAGGGAAAGATGCTGAGAGAATCGGAAAGAAAGAGGAATAGGGTTGATGATGGAGCAGAGAAAGAGAGATAAAAACAGAGAAAGAGATTACTAAAACAACTTTAGGTTTTTTTAGTGCTTAGAATATTAGAGAGAAAGAACTATAATGGTAGCAACTGAACATATAGCTGGTCACACTGACTTCTGAGTGTGAGCAAACTATAAAAGAGGTTGCTGAAGCATTGCTGGTGTTGTTAAGCACTGTGTATGTGACCTACATCACAAGACATTTTGTCCAAGTAATACCACTAATCCTTTACTTCATTCTTGCATGAAAAATGTGTTCTACTTCTACACAGTAAGGTGGGATGAACACCATTGCGATTAGACAGATGAGAGGGAACACAAGGGGAACCATAAAAAAATGGGAAAAGTTCATAAAAGAGAACAATAATCAAAAGCCTGTCTAGCACAAGTCAAGATGACGCATCTCAGAAAGCATTGGAATGTACCACGAATGAATAAAAGACCTGCAGATGAAGTAAACTGTTTCACAGCGGACGTACGTAGTAAGGGAGGAGCACCTTCCTGCTTCTCTATTGTGAATGAGACATGTCTACACACCCGGCTAGGTGCCTTATTTGACTTATATAGAATAATGCTATTGTTATGAGCCCTGCTGAGACGGAGACAGCATATAGCAGCACAAACAGAAGCAGGACTCCCCATGAGTCTAGGGACTTGCTGCTGACACACTTCAGCATCCCCTGGTGGACTATCATATCACACAACTTTAGCGACAGATGCCGCAAACGTCTACATGTGGACAGCTAGATCAGTGAACAACTGAAATCAAATCCATTCCATGAGTAACATGTAGATGCAAGGAAAGGGGACAAGTAAGTATTAAAATGCACATGTTGTCTCAAGCCTTTAATTCTGAATGAATCCTGGGAACTTTATGTTGCCCATAGCATTGTTTCCCATCCTCTGTCTCTTAGACTAGGGTTTCTGAGACTTTTTGCAGCCAGGGACCCCTTTAACTGTAAAATATATTCAGTATTCAAATATGAGGCTCATGATTTAAATCTGTGTAATTATATTCAGGCTATTTATTGCAGCCATTCACAATATACATTTTTTAAATTTTTAATTTTTGACACCAGGCTGCTTTAAAGAGGTGATTCCAGGAACCCTAAGTAGTCAACATGCCTGATGCTGACTTTAGGGAACCATTCATCCAGATGAATGAAAAGTGGCCTTGGTAGATCAGGTCCAGTGTATTAACCTGCCTGGGGCATGAATATTTCTACAGGGGCCCCTGGTCTGAGGAATTAGTGTTCTTAAATGTTTGTTTGGTGTGTTGTGCACTGAGACAGAG